TTCAAACTATTGTCTTTTATTTTGAACTAGAAAATGTAATACATCCTGAACCGATGTTTCTCAAAACGTACAAAGTTTGGTGTCATGAAGTTTTCGCTGTTGAAAAGTCTATTCCACAAAATTTGTGCACATTAAGATAGGCTATTTTGGTGTAGATCGTTCAGATGAAACACCCTCAAGAGACGTTATAATGAATTGTGATTTTTCCTCTGTTTTTAGCTGTCCAATACGAACTACAAAATGATTTTACTTGCTGCTTTTTTTATTATTATCATCATTCACAATACTCTCAACTGGCTATTGAGACCAACTTGTTCGTCGTCATTGACAAATAACGATGATTTTCTTTTCGATATTGTTTATACTTATGTCAATGGTAGTAATGAAGACTATACTCGACTGAAAGACTACTGGTTTTCTGTCGACAAACAACATTTGGGCAGTGATCGTCTGCAAGAACGTCACAGCACTACATCGAGTCTATCGAAAGATAACAATGAATTATGTTTTTCACTGCGAAGTATTGAAAAGTATATGCCATCATTTCATGGTCATATCTATGTTGTAACCGATCAAATACCAAATTGGTTAGATATTTCAAAATCAAAGTCACAACTCCGAGTGATTTCAACTCGAGAAATCATAGATAAGAAGTATCTTCCAACATTTAATTCTCATGCTATAGAAGCTAATCTTCACAAAATTCCAAATTTGAAAGAATTTTATCTTTATTTTAACGATGATTACATACTTGGACGTCCAGTTTCGATCGATGATTTTTTCCTCGATGGAAAATGTCCAGTCATTTATGGTGACGATCGTTTAACATCAAACACTAATGTTACATTGAATATTCATAAAAAAGCAATGTTGAATACAAACTTTTTACTTGACAATTTCCTGACTAATACAAATAGAAACGTGAATACAAGTGATCGACATTTTCTTCCACATGCTCCACATCCAATCAGAAAATCAATTGCTGAAGAGGTTTGGTCCTCGAAGTTCACCAAAATTCATCGTGAACAATCATCACATCGATTTCGTGACATGAATGATGTTCATCCAACTTATTTTATTTCGCGATATTTAATTGAACAGTCGAACGGATGTGTCGAAGAACGACGAATGAAAAGTGCTTGCTCATCTGATGAAGAAGATTTTTGTAATCAAGTACTTAAGAATAGTTTAAAACAGGCACGGCTATTTTTTGACAGACTTCGTTATCGACCACAAATGCCAAAATTTCTAAGTATAAACGATCGAACAAGTACACACTATATACATCGAGGCAGAATTTATAAGGAATTTCGACGCTTTTTAAAAGAAATGTTTCCACATAAAAGCAAATTCGAATTGAAAGATTGTACCCTGTAAAAGAAAGTAAAACATTTATGAATAAACAGAAAGAGATTCAATGATTAATTTTAAAAAATCAATTGGTGATTGCAAATTATACTACATTGCTGTCGATTTCAATTTACACTATGTCCTTCTCTCTCAGTGGAAGAGTTCTCAAATTAGATTTAACGATTTAGTTTATTAGGATTTTCCTTTTTTTTTAGGGCAAAATGTATAAGGTAAGGATGGAAAGGTGAATTAGATCCATCATGTGTATCAAGAGAAAAAAAGCATCATAATTACCTCAATGGTTCACGAAAATGCATGTAAATAAACAAAACGAATGTGTCTAGAATGGATATGGATAAGCCGCGATCATGCACTTGCCACTTATTTCGAGAGCCTCATCAAGTAACTTCTAATATTCTACATTTTCCGACTAATTAGAATTTAAAGAAAACAAATTTCATTGATGAATGTTGAAGAACATTAAATAAGAGAGGTTTCATGAAAGGATCATCCGAATTCATTGAGTTTCACTGAAAACACGTATAGGCTTTGATTTTCTGTAACTATTGTGGAAAGATCATATATCGTACATATATGCCAAAGACCAAACACTAGTAATCCAGATCAACAATACATGTTACTTTTTTTTTCTTGTATTAAAAGGTGAGATCATTGCATGAAATAAGGATCAATTTGGATTTTGTTCTACATGAAGATGCAAGTCATCTTCAAAAACAAACATCCTAAAGAGAATTGAGATCGAAAATATGGCACATAGGCCCAAAGAGTAAATTTTCAACGACTAGTATGACAAACAACTAGGAAGACTGTTTCAATTACAAAACTGCTTTGAGACAGAGTCATTTCCCAACATGATCGAAAGAAAATATTGCTAACAAGACATTTCAAAAGAATAATCACAAATACACGAAAATATCCTGCACACATCTACAGAAAAGGACAAATAAAATGAACAAGTTCATTTTTGATGATTTCGAATAATGAAAATCGTTTATAGTTGTGTTTTAGTCTCGAATGAATTTCTAAAGACAATCTAAGAAGAGTGTGAA